GTCCCTGAGGCAGATCAGGGGCTGTGATTTCCTGGGCAGCACAGGACATGGGGTTGTTGTCCCCAGCAGTGCAGCCCAGTTCATGGTGGCTCGGGGCTGTGACCTGGCGCCAGGGCTGACAGCTTGTGGGGATGCGGCTGGTGCTGCTGGTGCTACTGGTGCTGGTGATGCTGGGGCTGGTGCTGGGCTGGCTGCAGCTCTCCAAATATCCCACAGAACAGGACGGGCCTCTCCGTGAACCTGTCAGTCTGCATTCAGCTGCACTGCCTCGGCCGTGTGCAGCAAGCAGGGCTGCTGAGAATCCATCACTTATGACTTTTCCTACGTGACCATATCATGGGCACGGCCATGGCACAGAGTGTTCCTTTGCGTGCCATGTCCCCACCATCCTCATCTCGGGACATTCGGTTGGGGCATGGCAGCCCAGAGCTGGTCTGGAGCAGTTTTCCCAAAGTAGGGCAATTAAAGTAATATAGGAAAATGGAAAGTATTCGTCAGGAGCTGCAGTGGCAGAAGGGGAAGGAGCTGCGTGAGTCAGTGAGCCCCAGCAGCAGGTAAACAAGCAAGAGGTGTTACTCACCAGGTCCTGCTTTGGGATGGGCAGCACAATGCCCTCCTGCTCCTGGAAGGCACTCAGTGGCACCGGGATGCCCAGCACAAAGGAGAGCTGCATCACTGCCTGGAGGTGCTACCAGGAGCATCCAATGTGAGGGCATCAGTGGGATGGGGATGTGGGACACATGGCCCAAGGAGCATCCAGAAGAGCTCTTCTCTGCATGCATGACCCGGGGCAGCCCGTCTCCCCACACCTCCACTTGGCCATCATTACATGGAGCCAGACGGACGGATGCCCAGGGCACAGGGGAGGGCTCAGCGTGCAAAACCATGCATCTAACACAGGAAAACTGCTGCTTGGAAATGTGCGTGGGTGAAAACAGCCTCACAGATGGAGCAAAGCCCCCAGGTGGCTTGAAGCCTGCACCCAGCCTTCCCATTGGGAAAGCCAAAGGAGCCACATGAACGTCTGGGAGAAACACACAGTGCTCAGCTGCAGCTGCTGTAGCCAAGAGCAGAGTGCAGCATGCACAGGGCTGGAAGGGTCCTGCACAGCCCCTGCTTTGCACACATGCACACAGCCCAGGAGCTGGGTTAAACCACATCCCAGCAAGTAGAGATTTCCTCTCATTCAGTCAGTGCGAGTTCATACCCTCCTCTTAAAACTGGGCCAATGGTTAATGACTCTCCCAGTCAGGCTGCGAGGGACCATATCCCACAGCTGCTTCCTGCCTTCAGTGGGGAAAGTCTGACGCTTTTGTTCCCCCCAGATTTTGACTGGGTGCCCGGGCAGAGCAGATCCCCATCACATCCCCTTCTTGTGCTGCTCACCAGCCTGTTGTCCCCATCAGCACCAGGGATGTTCCCCACACAGGGCACACCCCACGCACAGCCCCTCGGCTGCCCCCAGGTGTGTTCCGGTGACTCCACATCATGCAGCTTTTACAAAGGGAAACATCACCTGGCCGTCAATGAGCTGCATTGCAGACAGTCGTTAGGCAGCGTGCAATTAGCGATCCGCCAGCCCAGAGCCGTGCCAACCCCCGAGCCGCCTCACTTGACAGGCGCTGCCATCCATGAAACCGAACTAACGACCTTAATTATACTTTTTGTTTCTAATTTTGGGCTGACACTGTCCCCAGTTACCCAGCCCATCATTTGCCCGGGGATCGCCATCAGCCCTACCTGCTCTGTAATTCCCAGGGTCGGCCCTTTTATCCCCTTTACCCATTGGGCTCCCGCTGGCCTCTCTCCAGCCCCATGGAATTTCCCCAGGGTTTTTCAGCATTAAAAATTAACTGCATTAACTCTGCATCCTGCAAGCCTGCTCCTGCAAGGAGCAGCCCTCCTCCTGCAACACCCTCGGCCCAGTGCAGGGAACGGCCCTTCGCTGGGGCTGTCGGGATGGGGCCCCCTGAATGCTGGGTGTGGGACGGGGCAATGGTAAGGATTTGCTCACGAAAAGGCTGCACGCATCGATGGTGCTTTGGTCATGGCATGCACCACGGTGCTTCTGTGACAGCACTGGGACAGGGAACACTTACCCCAAATGGAGCCAGATTTGGGGAGCCAGCCTGATTTTTGGTAACCTTCCTCTTCTGCATCGGGTTTTGGCGAGGCACTTTTGCCCTGGGACGGCGCCCAACACAGCTGCTGGGTCAGACCCCGCGGCACGGAGACGCGGATGGGTTCCGAGCATCCTTATGGCGATGCCCCCACGCGACGGCAGCAGAACGAGGCCGTGATGCAAAACGAGCCGCACGTGGGCTGCGGAACCTCCCGCTTCGGTGTGCGCTGCGGGGCTGCGGGGCTGCGGGGCTGCGGGAACCGCAGCGCGGAACAGAGCGAACCGAGGCTGCCACCTCCCGGTGCGGAGCAGCACTTCGCCCTGTCGCCCCCCCGCGTCCCCCCGAGGGCTCTCGGCTGCGGGTGGCGGTACGGAGCCGCTCAGCAGAAGGAGCGGCTGTGGGCTGTTGTGCCGCTGTGGTCGCGGAGCGGCGTCCCCTGGGGATGCGCGGAGCACCGCCCGCATCGTGGCCACGGCCGTTCGAGAGGTGTCTGCAGGGAGCCAGGGTGAAAGAAATGAGCTCGGCACCATCTGTGCTCTGCTCAGTTTCGGTTCCAAACGTCTCCTCTTCCCCTTCTCCTCCTCCCCCCTTCCAGCCTTTTTTTGGATCTCACAGGGTGCATGTGTGCAAGAAATGCCTCGGCCAAGGTCCATTCCTATGTGAGCACAGGGAATGCAGAAAGCAGCAAGTCCTGAGCAAAACAGCCCAGGAAAGCATTGCTCTGGGCCCTGGTGTTTGGCAGCACTTGAGAGCCGTGTGCCACCTCAGAGGCCACAGGAGGGCCAGTGCTGCTTGGAGGTACTCGACCAGGGAGTGAGGTCCCAGTCACAGCACCAGCTGAGAATTTTAAAGCTGAGCTTGCAGGGCCTTCCTCTGCTCACTGAGGAGGGACAAAGCACCCCCAAGTGCTTCTCACTTCCCTCTTGAGGGCACACAGAGTGGAAACTGCAAGTGTCCTGCTGCTATTTGCAGAGGCAGGTTTCCCCTGCGAAGTCCCAAGAGCTGCAGAGATGTGGCTATAGCTCCAGGCCTGGCTCTGCCACACTCAGAGTGCCAACATCACATTTTCCTCTGCTGCCAGCCCTGCAGGTGGGCAATCCATGGGCTCCTGGAGCACCGAGCTCAGGGGCTGAGGCTGCAGCATGAACAACCACAGGGATGTGCAGCAAAGGGCGCGTTTTCCTCCCCAGGCTCCATGGCATCATTTCAGCCATGCAGCTGCTGTCTCCCAGGTGTACCTCTGCTTCCCTCCTACAGCTCTCACCCTGACCATAACCCTGACCATCAGCCACACGTGCAGAGCTGTGATACGCGCACAGCTTCCCTGCTGCAGCTTCAATGCAGGCTGCACGCAGCCGTGGGGTGCTGGGCTGCTCTGCTCTCTGAGCAGATTCACCTCCGATATCCCATGGTGGGGAACGCAGCCCATTGACTGAGATTTTGCTTTGGAGTCAGAGCAGGAGATCCATGGGAACTCGTGCAGCAGGCGCTTCCCCAGGGACGCCCATCCTGACATGAGATGCTCCCAGCAGAGCTGTCCCCTGCACCGTTCTCTGCCATGGGCGATGAGCTCCATCCCACCAACACCAACCCCACCAGCTCACGGCCCCAGTCACACAGGGCAGGAGTTTTTGTGCTGAACGGAAAACCCTTGATGCTGCCCCACTGATGTTTATAGAAAGTAGCAGGTATCTCTCCTTCCTTCCCCTCCAGCTGCTGCTTCTGCAGAACCATCCCCCGGGCTGAGCTGAGTCACCGCCGCTTGCTGCAGTGCTGTGGGAAACAGGGAGAAACTGGCAGGAATCAATGCTCCATCAATGGAAAAAGGGGAAAAGAGCAGCTGCCCAGCCTGGTTTGCTATTTCTAAAGAGACCCCATGGAGTGTGGGGATACCCTTGGGTGGGAGCATTGCTCCTCCCCACCTGCACTGTGCACTGTGCCATCCTTCTGGCTGCACAGCCCCGTGCTCACATCGCTGCTCCTTTCCTCTGCAAAACTTGGGAAAGCAACAACACAGTGCCAGCTGCCCATCCCAGGGTGTCCGTTTTGCTCAGCAGAAGAACTGTGGAATCACAGAACATCCCGAGTTGGAAGGGAACCACACAGATCATGGAATCTCAATCCCGCTCCACACAGCACCACCCAAACCCAAACCTGATGTCTGAGGACAGTGCCCTGATGCCCCCTGAGCTCCAGCAGTGTGGGGCTGAGCCCAACACCCTGGGAGCTGTTCCATGCCCATCATCCTCTGGCACAGAGCCTCCTCCTACCTCCAACCCGGCCCTCCCCTGATGCAGCTCTGCTCTGTTCCCCCTGGTAGAAGAGCTCCCATGAAGATGAGTGATGCCAAGGCTGCAGATCCGCATACCCCATGGGACCTCTCCCTGCTACGAGGACCAGGACCAGGACATCCCCATTCTGTGCTTGGTGACAGTGCCTCCCCCCCATCCCTGAGCCCTCAGCAGCTCAAGAAGCCAATGCACTGCGCTGTGCGCGTGGCCAATTTGCATCGAAGGGATAAGGGGAAGCCCCAGGAAACACATGGCCCAGGCATTAATCAAATCTACCTCTAATTATAAACCTGCAGAGTAGTGCGCAGGGCCGGAGCTGGCAGCACGATGGCAGCAGCCGGGAGACAATAGGCACTGCGGGAGAGCTGAGCGTGAGTTACCCTCGGTGGGGCTGCTGGCCTGGGGGCTGCATTTGCAGGGGCTGGAAGGGAGAGGAGAGCACTGTGGGGCAGTGGGGATGGTTGGTGCTGTGGGGCTGGAATGGTCGCATGATGCTTTGGATGGAGGCTGGGCGCTGGGTGTGTGCAGGGAGATGCATGGCCTGGCTTTGCAGGACAGCGCTCAGCTCGCCTCCATCCATGGGAGACATCTCTTGGGGGACAAAAAGTCCTGAAAGTGCATTAGAGGAGAGTGCAGGCCTGAGCCATGCTGTGCTGCAGACTTTGCTATCTGCCAGCTCACAGCAATGTGGATGGAACAACTGGGACTACAGGGGCTGTATCTCACTGCAGAGACACAGACCCCTCCTGGAGCACAGGGGTATTTCTATACCGAAATCAAACTGTGTCCCCATGAAAGCAGCAGCCCCGGCCAAGGTACTGCACAGATTTCAGTGCTGCATGTCAGAGCCTCAAACATTTCAGCTCCCCATATCCAGAGCAGCCGACCCACAGGAAACAGCTGTGCCTCCACAGTGGGATGTGGGTGCCCACATCAGCAAACGGCTGCTAAGAACGAAACCCTTACAGGGATACAGCATCCTTTAAATTTTCATCCCTCCTGAGCTTTTCTGCTGCTTCCACCAATGTCTCCATCAGCATCACATCCCTTTGTTCTCCCCAGCCCTGAGCACAGCCACAGAGAGAGGAATAGCAGAAGCACTCCTACTTTCGGGGCCCCCGTGTGCTGCTGAGAGCTGCCCCCGAGGGACGCCTCTCTTTCTGCTGCTTAGAAAAAAGCGACACATCAGAAGTGGGTTTCGGTATGATGCTGACACACCAAAGTGAGATGTCAGAAATTACGTGCAGGGCGGCAGGAGCAGCCCCAGGGCCACAGAGGAATTCAGAACGTTCTAGACTTACAAACCGATTCAGCAGTTGGTACCGATGGTCACTATGGCTGTTCCCTTGCACAGGTCTCAGCGCAGGGCGCACCGACCCCGCACACGTTTCCCTCGCCTCTCACAGCCATGGATGGGACGTGCCTGGGAAAACCAACAGTGAACAACTGCACCAACCAGCAGTACTGGGACAGCCTCCTGTGCGTGTGCATCCCCTGCAGCCTCGTGTGCGGGCGCTCGGCTGTATGGAGGTGCACGGCGCTGTGTGGTGAGTGGGGCGTTGAATTGCAACCCCACAGTGCTGGGGAACACAGCAGTGGGCTCTGGCAGCAGCTCGGTGCAGTCCAGCAGAGAGTTGTCCGTGTTATCGTGTGCTGGAGAGTTGGGCAGAGTGGAACCCCGTGAGGTTCAATGAGGGCAAGTGCTGAGCCCTGTAACCTGGGGAGGGATAACTGCATGCATCAGTACAGGTTGGGGCTGAGCTGCTGGGAAGGGCACTGCAGGGAAGAGCTGAGCGTCTTTGTGGCCAGCAGGGCGACCAGTGGTTGACCAACAGCTGGCTGTGTGCCGGAAGGGTGCCCTGGTGGCCCAGGAGACCAATGGTTCCCTGCAGTGCATTGCAGTGAGGCCAGCAGGTGAGGGAGATGCTCCTCTCCTCTGCTCTGCCCTGAGGAGCCTGCATCTGCAGCCCAGGGCTGGGATCCCAGCCCCAGGCTGACAGGGAACTGCTGGAGAGAGCCCAGCAGAGGGCTGCAGAGACGGTGGGGGCCTGGAGTACAGAGGGAAAGGCTGAGAGCCCTGGGCTGTGAAGTCTTGAGAGGGATCTGATTAGTGCTGACCAATATCTAAGGACAGGAGTCAAGGGGATAGGGCCCTTCCAATCCCAATTCTGTTACGTCCCTGCACTACTCCTTCCTGGGGTCTGATGAAGCCTTTCTGGAGCTGCATTAACAGCAATAACCCACAGTTGTCACTTGATGAAGGGACACATCAGGTGCAGCTTATGTATGTAATGATAAACTCAATCAGGAGGTGTGCAAAGCTGCACTGTGAGCTCTGCATGGCAGGGGAGGGGAGCAGAGGCACACTGCCCCCAAACCCTGCATACAAACCCACATGCATGGCCCCATCCCTCCCCAGTGGGCCACGGATGTGCTGAGAGCGAGCTCTGCTCCTCTCTTTCTCTTCCTGCAGAGTCTGCAGTCTGTAACAGGAGAGCTGGCTTCTACTACGACGAGCTGGTGAAAAAATGCATCAACTGCAGCACAGTTTGTGGGCAGCACCCCAAGCAGTGCGATGCAGCATGTGGAGGTAAGCCGGGGGATGAGAGGTGGAAGAGGTGCAAGTTTATGGGATGGAAGAGGCAGCAAGCACAGCTCCTTTGTCCTGATACAGGGTGTGGCTGCAGTCCATGCAGCTGTTGCATTTCCCACCTGGGTGAGCTGCAAGTCCCACACTGGGGTTGAAAAGATCTCCTTTGCCAGCCCCGAGAAATGCAAGCTGCAGGGCTGCTTCCAGCTTCTCTCCAAGCAGAGTTCATTAACGCTGTTAGCATCCTTCCCCTATCAAAAAGCTGACAGCGTGAGCAACACAGCAGAAAGGTTTTGCAGAATCTGAGAATGCTTTGGATTGGAAAAAAGCTTAAAGATCAGAGAATCATAGGATGATGTGGGTTGGAATGGTGGTCCCTAAAGATCAGAGAACGGTTGGGTTGAAAGGGACCACGCAGTCCCACCTCTGCTGTGGGCTGGCGGCCCCCCCCCACCAGCTCCAGGCATGGGGCACCCACAGCTCTGGGCACTCTGCTCTGTGCCTCTCTGCCCTCTGCTCTCTGTCTGCCCCACAGGATCTCTGCTCGCCAGCCACTCCCCGCCAGCTGCCCTGATCTCAGCATCACCTCCTGCAGCTGCACTGGAGCAGAAGCTTTGTGTGGAACAGGAGCCATGGCTGGTGGTGTACCTACTGCTGGGGCTCTGCCTCTGCGCCCTCATCTGCTCCCTGGTGCTGGGCTGGACACACCTGCGGAGGAAGGGAGAGGTGGGCTCCTGCCAGGCCAGCACTGGGACCTGCCACTGCCGGGAGGACGCTGCCAAAGGTGAGTGCTGGGGGCACGGGGAGGAGATGGGCAGCCGGGGGTGGCTGTCACCTGAAAGCAGAGCCACGCTGTGCACAGGGCTGGCAGGGAACAAACCCAGCAATGGGCCGCGCAGCCTGGGAAGGATCAGGACTTTGAGGATGCTGTGTTGTTCAGCCTTTGCTTTTAAGAGCAGCTGAGAGGTGAAAAGGGATTTCCTGTCTGCTTTTAAATACCCCGTGCTCAACCTTGGTTATCAGAGCTCAGATAACAGAGCAGAGCACTTCACCAACCCAGGCAGTGCTGCGTGGCCCTCGAGCCAGCAGCCCCTGTGTCTTGTACAGCACTGCACCACTGCATTTGCACACAGTGCAAAAGGAGCACTTAAGACAACTGGCATGTAACATTATAAATGTTACAGCTGCTTTAGCCCTACACCTGCAGCCTTCCTGCCCTAGGCACTTTCCCATTTACCCCTCTGCTCTTGGGGCAGCAGGACAAACACGGACGACGCATTTCAAGCACAGCAGCAGCACATGTGATTAAACTCTGCGCTTCCAGCACTGCCTCCTTGCAGGCTGTGGTGCAGCTTTGCAGAATTTCATGCCTCTATCTGCAGATCACCTGGTGGAAGCAGGCAGCGTCGGTGAGGGATCCAAGGGCAGCAAAGTCTCAGAGCCGGTGGAAACCTGCGGCTTCTGCTTCCCCGGCCACGGCTCCGCTGTGCAGGAGACCAAAGCTTGCCACAGCCCCTCCTGCCATGCAGGGGAACGAGCTGCTGCCTCTCACGCTGGGATATGCAGCACGGGCAGTGCCGGGGCGATCCCCAGCCCCAATGATGGCCACTTCAAAATCATATGTTCCCCTTCACAAGAGAAGACACCCATGGTGTGACTGCGGGGAGCGCTCCTGAACGGGGCCGGAAAGGAGGGCTGCTCCCCGTGCTGCTGGACCACAGCTGCTTCACCCTCTGCCTCCAGCACCCATTTCCACCAGGATGGGTGGACAAAGCACAGCCTCTGCACAAGGGCTGTAGGCCACAGACTGTTCTCTTCCACTCACCCGAATTCCCAGTTAGCAGTGACTCCATCCTTCTGCCCGACCTCTGTGGGCACCTCTGTGCATCCCGGTCAGGGGCTGCTCATCCCAGCTCCTCCATCAGCACCACTTTGCCTCCGCCGAAGGAATCGATGCGCAGCCGTTGCCTCTGCCACACTGTCATCTTCCGCCTTTAACTGAGCTTTTGTTCACATGCAAGAATAGAGGAGCTGTGTTGGGCACTGCTGGAATGGGGTTCTGATATGAAAAGCCATCCCAGGCTGAGAAGATTCTGAAGTGCTCTGAGTTTTGGTCTGCTGCTGGTGGGGCTGCCTGACAGAACTGGGAACGGTGATGCTCAAAAGCTGCTATGGAAAACTGCGGGTTCAGTGCATGTAACTAAGTTCTCACTAAAGGGAGGTGTGGGGCTTTTGCTTGGTGAGAAACGACTCTCAAGAGGAGATTGAAGGCCTTGAGTTTCTTAGACCAGAACTTGAGACTTGAAAGAATACACGGGAGTGTCATCAGATGCACGAATTGGTGATGGGAAAATAAACAGCTGGAGAAACCATGAGCAGATACAGTCCTTCTGTGCCCTGCTATGCATTTCTTTCATGTCTCAGGACTAAGGCAGGCAGGCAGCACCAGGATGAGCACAGCACAGCTGCTGCTGCAATGCACCCACAGAGCACACGAGCACCAGGGCCACGAGGAACCCATGATAAGTGGAATGAGCAATGGGAGGCTGAAGGTGCAGTGACAGCCTTTCTTTGCCTTATGGCTGGTAAGCAGGGCAAAGCTTGAGTCCATCTCCGGCAACCAACGTGGCAATTCTCGGCCTCCTCCTTTTTGGGGGTGGGATGAGATTTGTGCGGTGCTGCATTTACAGCCTGGTCCTCCCACCCTGATAGACGTGGTACTTCCACAGCCCCAAACCCACCTCAGCCTCCCACCAACACCTGTAGCCTCTGCTCTCGCTCAGCCTCAGCTCTGCCTCTACTCTTATCCATCCTCAGTTCTTCCTTGGTTCCCCCCCACCAAATCCTTCAGCCTTTTCTGTTCGAACTAAAGCCTTCCTCAGCCCCCAGCTCCCTTCCAACCTTGCACAGCACTTCTGCCTGTGTTAGCACTCGGCCTCAGCTCCTGCTCTGCCTCCATCAGCCCCTCACATCCTTTCCATTGACCCAAAGTTCCTCATCCCCACTTGTGGTGAGCTCCTCACTCCCCCCATTGGGCACTGCTCACATTCTGCACCACTTCAGCTTCCCCTCCTTTGATCCTCAGCTGGTGCTCAGCTCCCAGCCTTCTTTCCCAACCCTCCTCCAGCCCCAGCTCGATGGATGAGGGCAGCAGCCCCTGAGCCAAAATCTGTGCCCCAGGAAGCAGGGAACGCACACACCCACAGCCAGCTCCTTCCTTCCAACCCTGATAAGCAGGAGGGGAACATTCCTCACCATCAGACGTGGCCTCCCCACCTGGAAATATAAATAGAGTTATCAGCAAAGGTAACAGGGAGCAAATTGGTCAAATCCACAGTAAGAATACACGCAGGCTCCTAGATAGAGCAGTTGGATGCTGGAGAACTGGGAGAAACCAATGGATTGCCACACTGGCAGCATTCCTGTATCAGCAAGGCACTGTAAGTGGGGCCAGCAGTCAAACCCTGGCACCACGTGGGAATTACAGGCACTGACTCTGAGCCAGAGCATCCCAGGGGGGTTGAAGCAGCTCCTCGCAATGCTGCTTTTGCTCCAGTTTTCATTAGGTACCAGCAGCATGGAAAGCTGTCCCTCTAGCAACGAGATCCCACTGACAGCCATGTTCCAGCTGCTTTGTGCTGCACGGAGCCATCGCTGTGTGTGAGCAGGAGATACTTCAGCATTAGCAGCAACCTCAGCTTTCAGTCATCTCTTCCGCTGCTTCTCTGTAACACAGCGAGCTTTCTGTGCTGAAACAAAACCTCATCACCTCAGCACAAAGCATTCAGCCCCAATGCCCCAGCAGGGCCGATGGCTGCAGCAGTGGGCAGCACTTGGGGAGCAATGTGGGATCAGCCCAGCAGCACCGTGCTGCATGGCCAACGTGCTCCTAAAAGTGATGTTCAGAGCTCTGCAGAGAAGCCTCCCCGTTCTGTAGTGAACGAGCCCTGTGGCTGCTCCTCAGCGTTTGAGGCAAAGGCTGTGTATGGGAGAGCCATAAGGAGGGGTTGTGCTGCTTGTACAGCAGCAGCCATTCTTCCACTTTTATCAAGGAGGAAAATGCTCTCTGCTTCCCCAACAACCTGTGCTGATTTACTGCTGGAAGCAGAAGGGTACAACCCAAAGAGGGACTTGGGGAGAGAGAACAGCATCTCATACAGAGGAGTTGTGCTCCTGAAACCAAAACAGAGTCCTGAAACTTCCTTCACTCCCCATCTCCCACTGAAAGCCACCTGCAGAGCTCCAAACAGCTGAGAGAGGTTGGGGGGGTGGGGGTGAAAAATGAGGCTGATTTAGCTGGCCTTATCCCTATGCAGTCTGTTTCTAAAGGGTGGATGGAGAGCCCCCGTGAGCCCCCGTGAGCCCCAGCACAACAGAGAAAGCAGCATTGGGGCTCAGCCGCGCGGTGGCACTGCTCCTCCGGCAGCGGGAGCAGGCGGGGATGCGGCTGCAGCCATGGGAATAATGAAGGGCTGCTCCTCGGCTCCCTCTGCAAGCTTGCTGCATTATTAAAAGGCAGCAGAAAACGTCGCCGAGCATCTGCACAGTGCTGTGCCCAGCTCAGGGAGGGAGGGAGGGAGGGAGGCCCCCCCGTCCTGCGGGTTGCACCGTTCATCTGCATTTCTCCAGCCATTTTTCATCGGTGACAAGAGCACCCGGGTTACATCTTATTACAACCCGGCGTTATTTCCAGCATGCCGATAGGGGAGACGGGTTACGAAACCAGCACACGCCATCGCTGCCGTAGCGATCAGTGCTCCCACACGGGCTGCTTGCTGTGCTGCTATTCAGGGAGCTTCAATCAGCGGCTGCTTCTCCCTTCCCTCCTGCAAGCTGTCGCAGCAATCTCGCGCTGTACCGAAGCACCTCGTGCTCTCTGGTCTGCGTGCAGTTCAGTTGCAGTTCCAGCATCCTTTTGTGTGGCTTCTCTCTCGGCAGATGCTCATCGAAAAAAACAAAGTGGGCTTCACTGATTCTCCTCCGATGCCTGCTGCTCTGCTGCCCGCCTCGCACCCCTCACGCAGGTCAGACCCCCAGAGCCATTTCTGGAGCACCAGATCTAAAAGATGAAACACATCCACGTTTGTAACTGCTGCATTTAAGTCCAGCATTGGCTGCTTGGATACACGCACAGGGCTCAGGCTCGTTTCAGTAGGGCCCTTACACCGATGGATGCGATGCCTAACCCTCAATACAGCTCTCTCCAGGCTCCGTAAGGAAGAAAGAGCAATGCTATTTTTGCTCTTTTTAGCTCTGTGTTCTGAATGGTTTCTCTCATGGGCTGCAATTCAATCCGCAGCCCGGCCTCCTGGGAGCAAGACAGAGCACACCAGCAGTCACTGCTGCTATCCAGACGGGCCACCGAGCTGCTTTAAATGGGAGAGAAAAGGGAACAAAACTGCGCTTGTGACAAAGCAAAAGCAAGCTGGTGCACCAGCTGCTATGAGCTAAGGGCACAGACAGGGAGGCTGCAAAGAGAAGAGCACGCGAGGAGTTAATACATGTGGGAGGGTACAAGGAACCAATACCAGCCTAGCACATACCAGGAAAACGTGTTGTTTACTTAAAAACCCAGTGCACTGCAGAAGTGCTCAATAGCAGCTGATCTATCGCTCACTGCTGCCCCCAGCAGCAACCATTTCCAACAGATGGTACATTTGTCAATACCGAGCTTCTTTCAAGTATCACACAGATACACGCCTTTGGAAAGCAACAGGGAAAAAAAAAACCAAAACCAAACCAAAACCGCATCAACCAAAAGCAGCAATAACAGAACAAGTGACTTTGAGAAATTCAAGCGTCCACAACATTGAGAAAAATAAAAGAACCCAGACCACTCTTACAGTATAAACACAGCGATTCAGTCATTTTTACTGATGGTTGCATTTATGAATTTCATTCTTGTGGAAAAAAAAAAAAAAAAAAAGGGAATAAAAGGAAAAAAATTAAGAAAATAGCTATTTATAGAAAACAAAACAAAGGGCTCAAACAGAAACGAATCTGTGCTGATGCTTTGCATGAGCAGTCCGATGGCATTGAACATTACCTGTGCAAGCAGGCATGCTTGGAAACCTGTCTGTATTGTAGCTTCAGTTCCACAATTCAGGATTTCTTTTGTTGGTGGAAAAAAAAGAGCCTAATAGTTTCATACTGTATTTATTTAATAACTAAAATTCACAAATAAAAAGATACTTGCAAAGTCCTTTAGTTGTGTCATTCCCTCCTCCTCCACTCTACTGCTTTCAGATCCATATGCATAAAAAATGGGCTTGGATTTTTTTTTTTTTTTTCTTTTTAAATTTTAACTGTTATATGATTGGTCGTTGGAGCTGAAGCACCAATGGAGAAGATGCTTTATGGAGATGAGAGTACACCCCCTCGCCTTCCCACACACGTTTTGGAGGAACATAGGAGATGTACCAGTGCCCGGACTCCTCTGCTCCCATTTCCCCCACCCAGAGCATTCCTTTCATTGTATTTTTCCTCTGATAAGTGACTGACTGCAGCCTCCTTTTTCCCCCTTGCTGTCCTTGTGGGACCGCACACACGGTGGACATTGTTCATTTCTCACTCGGCCAGGCTTGGAGCCAGTGTCAAGTAGGTCCTGTTACAGCTCAGTGCTAGTTGTTTTTTAATGGGTCTTTTTATTTCAGGTAGGTTTGTGTGTCGATTCAGAAGGCTTGCTTATTTTCTTCCTTGTTTATATCTGACAAGCTGCTGGATAAGGCTATTCATACTCCAGGAACTGTTTGTGATAGAACAGCAAATATCTGCAAGAAAGCAGAGGTACAGGTTCAGCTTTGTGCAGCACATCGTAGCAGATCAGTATTTCCATGGATGCAGCTGTTAAAAATGAGAGCTATTAATGCTGTTGTTCTTTTCAAATTGAAGCAATACTCCCAGCTCCCCACAGGAGAAGGCAGCTGAAACAATTCCACCAGTGACTCAGCAAAGGGAACAGTTGTCCATCAAACCCTCGTGCTGTTTGAACCTTAACTTTAGAACTCTGGAAGATGGGACAGTGTTGATGCTCATCCATCCAACACATCACGGCACAGCACGTAACTGCAGTGCTTTAAGATGCAACTGTTCCTTTAGACTCCCATAACCAGAGCACCAGACATTAGGATATCACAAACTGTCTGCCATTTATCTGACAAACAGAAAGAACCAGGCATGTGGGTGAAAACTCACGTGTCCCAACCAAACATGACTCATGTATGTCTCAATCTGTCCTCAAATCTGGTGTTTTAGCAGGACAGAACTCTTCCTGTCCTTAATTACTGTACATGTACTGTACACAGCAGAATCCAGCCCTCAGGCAGGTAAGCCAACAGGCAGCACACTGATCTCTGTGCTCTCTTTGCACACCAGA